AAAAAAGATGTATATAGGTTCTTCATTCGTGAAATTTCATTGGAAGAGGTTCAAGGATCTACCAGCCACCATGAGTCAAGAACCTACATCCGTGTAGAAGACGACTGGCAAACACAAACGCAGAGCATCCAAGTGGAAAACAGTTCCAGGGATTTTCAATATCCAACTCGATGGTCTCCATGCGAGGCACCTAACGTTGAAGGCATCGTCAGCGAGCTTCTCTGCGATCTTGAGCAAGACGAGTTCCCGCTCCTGCAGGGTTTAGTTTATATGGTGAATAGCAGACTCCCCGAGCGACCAGGAAGGAAGTTGTTTAAAAGTTGCTCAACTGGACCATGACTAGCCAACATTCAAGGAGCGGTTTTCCTGATCCATGCGCATCACTATTTGAAACAACCGTGTGTCCTGTCCCCGCAAAGTCTGCACAGGCTCCGCCTCTGTATCCGCGCCATGCTTGAACAGCAGCCACGCTGCTTCCCGCTTCTCATTTTTTGGCTTCTCGTTTCTTCTCACGCTGCGCCTCCACACGTTTCCACAAGTTGGACATAGTCAGCCATGCGCTTCTGGAAGGCAAGGAGGGTGGACGCCCTTTCCGCTTGGAGGTCCGCAGCTCATCTTCTGTCTCCAACAAGGTCGCGCTTGAGGAAGAAGTCATCGCAGACATGGGCGCCATGCGGATGGCGGAGTCACCTTGGAAATACCTCACCAAGAGTTCGTGGCAGCAGCTACCGAGCTTCATGAAGGTGATGCATGTGCAAACTGCTTGCACACCAAACTGCTTCTTCACGAGCGGGAACACCACGCACAAATTCGTCATCAAGGCTCTGAAGTTTGCCAGCTTCAAGCGTCCATCTGGAAAGCTGTTGTCTTTCTTCAGTAAACTCAAGGCCTCAAGCGCCTGCCAAGCCGTCGCGTGGTCTTCCGCTCGGAGTAAGGCAGTGAAAGCAGCATGAGTGTCGCCGTCGATGACCTCGCTTGGCAAGTCCTGGTGGAAGGTGAAGAAGCCACTGGCTTTCCACCCGTTCCAGACACAACGCTCCTGTGTCTCGACGAAGTTGGCAGGGCACTGCTGCCAGAACTTGAAAGCAGACGGTTGCTTTCTCTGTCTGTCTTCCTGCGCTCGGCGCGCTCAATAGGAATGTAAACCCAAGGATCACGTTGCCAGAGCGGTCTTCCTGAAGACCTATTCTTCTAACCAATAACTGTTGGCTTGCAAGATAAACAGCCAACATATCGCCCAAACATCTAGACTTGCCACTCTCTTGACATTCTGGGGTGGGCTGCAAGAATGGCAAAAAAAGAACAGCGGTAGGCAAGTTACTCTGGTCAGAAACCCGCAGGAAATTGGAATTCATTTTTCTAAACGGTCGTGTGTGTATTGCGTGGGTCCTCCCATGCGAGCCGGTCAGATTGGAGAGGCGAGCCAAAGAGCAGTTCGCGGCAAGGTTGGGCATAAGCTGCCTCCGGTTGCCAGTCGCGTACCTCCTCGGACTCTTCATGAACCCAAGCTTTCTGACCTCAGCTTCAAGGAGAGCACTTGCGCGTTGCAACTGGAAGGATCCTCTGAAAGACAAATGGAGAGGAGTGCGCAAGCTTGAAAGAACATCTGTGAGACAAGTGGCAGAAGACTGTACGCACTGCGGCTTCGAGCCGGGGCGCCACTGTAGTGAGGCTCATTGCAGAGTAGTTGTCAGGCAAGCCTTGCTTCATAGACAAGTTGAATCTTTCCAAGCCTTGGTTTCCGCAAGCAGTAGTGTATCCAGGGACGCATGAGCTGCAAAGGCCGCCTTGCCACGCAGCCGTCCACATGCCATCCTGCAGACTCAAGAGACATGTTCGGATCCAAGTCAGGAGAGCGAACCTTTTGGCGACTGCCAGCTCTGCAAGGATTTGCTCCCAGAACAAGTGAAAGCTCAAGCGTGTTGGCAGGAAGGCCGCAAAGTTCACCTCCCCTGCCAAGTACGTTCGGAACACCATTGGAGCAATGTCTGGGCTCAATCCGCGGCAGTTCACAAGAATATGACGCAAATCTCTCCGCAAGGGCAGTTTCGGGAAGACCTACCAGGGAAAGCAATGGAAAGTCGTCCAGTTAGACTTTAGGTGTGTGTGTGTGTGTGCGTGTCGACCAAATCAGAGGTTCTCACGCCTGAGCTAAAGCCGACAATGCTCCAACCCCTCCGTCGACCATGAAAGCGCTGATGCTTTGTCTCAAATCGATTCCATGTGTCTGGTAGTAGTCCATACAGGTAATCATCGCACACATCAGTGATGCCTTGCTCTCAGTCGGCAGCCAACCCAATGCAATGGGCACTAGCTCACTTCGCGGGACTTTGTTGTCTTGTCGATCGCATCCGTGTTTATTAGGCAGACCAATGACCAAGACAGCCCAGCCTGGACCAAATTTCCGTGGCGATTTGCGCTACCCTTATTAAACAAGGCGTATTGCATGTTTGGAATTCGTTCTATGTCCTAGATG